CATGAAAAGAAAGAGGACGAGACTACGAGCGTCTGGGATCAAACGGCGACTGATTCGGAGTCCGGACGAGGGAGAAACGAAGCATTAAACAGAGGCTGAGCAAGCTGCACGGGCAGACCAGGGAGGCGCACGGCCGTGCAACATATAATTCTGGCCGTGCGCTCTCTGCCGAGGCCTTGCACGGGCAAAATCCAGCCTTGCACGGCCGTGCAAGATGGTTGAAGGCTGAACTTATTGATACGGTGCGTTTTAGGGCTGCACGGCCAGAATGGAGTGGTGCACGGCCGTGCACCTGGCCGTGCAACTCGGGGAAGCCTGTTTTTAAGCCTAATCCGAGCCAAAAGAAGGGAGAGCTGGGTTTTGGATCCCAAACACCCAAGGGACGAACCCTAGAGAGAGAGAGCGACTTGGGAACATTCTTGGAGCTATTTTGGAGGATTTCTTCGCCATTGGAGCTCGGGAATCAAGCTTGGAGATGGAGATTGAAGATCTAGATCAGATTTCTGCAGTCTCTCTCTTCTCTATGGAGTAACTTCCCTTCACTTAGGTTTTGAGGAACCCTAGCTATGTTTGTTTGATTGGATGATTGTATGAGTACTCTGACTTGATAATCTTGAGTTCATATTCAATCTATGCATGTTTTCATGATTCAATTCTGCTTTAGTCGAGATTATTGATTCTGCTTTGATCCTATGAGAGCGAATACCTGATTAGGTCAATAGAGCACCATAGATTGATAGTATTGGATCGATTGCTTTAGTCGAGGGTTGATTCAATGCTTTGTATCGATTGAGAACCTCATTCGATAGAGGGAATCTAGTTCAGAACGCCTTGATCAGTTGTTCTAGAGAAGGATACGTCCCTCTAGGCAATTGACTCAAGAGGGCCTTGTTCCTTTAGTCGAGACTCAAGGTCTAGTCAAGGATTCTCCGCATTGTGAATGAAAGTGAAACAAGTTAGAGATCATCAATCGTTAATCTGGCTAGTGGCTAGGGGGAATCATACCTAAGTGAGTTCCCAACCTGTAATTAGATTAACTTTAACTGTAGTTTGCTAGAGTAGTTTTAGTTCTTTCATCTTAATCTGTTTTGCTAGATAATGAACTGAAGCTGAGTAATAGTAACTCTAGAGACCCGTGGATTCGATATTTATTACTTGAGCCACTATACTGCAGTCCCTTTCATTGGTTACACTTGGCCATTGTTAGGAGTTGTGTTTTAGCGAGTCATATACCGCTCCGGAGGATCGTTGTTCAGCTTCATGCATGCAATGGCATGTTGACAAGGGATGCCATTGAGCTGCCAACTACCACAAGCACATGTTCTATTCCTCATATCCACAACATATCTGCCTCTATGTGATTGTACCTGATATTCCATGTTCCCATTGAAGGTTGGGAAGCAAAAAGCAGACCACGATGGATCCACCTTAAACCGAGTTAAGTACTTCTTGGCAAGGAATGATGGTGCCGCATCTCGTAAGTCTTCATCAACTCCACAAGTATGCTCCAAATTTCCAGTCCTGATTTGCACAGTGTCACAATCTCTTAGCTTTGCAGCATACAGTTTGAACCCGCAATCCTGTGAGCACATGCAGATACAACGCTTCTTGTCGTTGGTGGGAAACTTCACATCTCTCCTTTGCACAACAGCATGTGACTTGCAAGCAGCTTTGAACTCGTCAAAGGATCCAAATAGGTGACCAATCTTCAACTCAGGCATCTGCATATCCCTTTCAACCCTAAACTCGGGAAAAATTGTGTGTAGATTGAACACGTCCTCTTCTTCTTCGCTGCCCCATCCAGTCTTTTCCAATAACTCACCTTCGCTTGCATACAAGTCGTCTCTCTTGAGAACATCTTCATCTAGAACTCCTTCATTGATGTCATATGCAGATGGTTGCTCTTTATGAGATGATCCCGTCGAATCTCTACCTTGCCTTCCACTTGTCACTGTATTTCCTCGTCCCCTTTGAACTGAAACAGACGGTTCTCGAATTTCTTCCACCTCCCTTTCACTGCTAGTGTGAACAAAGTGAGCTGTATCTGGGTTGTCACAACTGGAATTTGTATGCTTAGCATACAGATGGATAACTCCGTCTTCAGGAACATGCCCACCCATCTCCAGAACATCATTATCACTCTCCAAGAGCTTCAATCCACTATACACATCCACACCAAACATCAACCAAAAGAACTGCATCGCCTGCTCCACTTCTGCTGTTTTGACCATCTCTTTAATTTCCAGCATTGACAATTTGTCAACATCGAAAAAGTCAATGTAATCAGACTTCCCATTAATGTAGCCCGTGTCGCCAAACTGCCCCATGCTATGAATCTCAATGGTGAAAAGTCCCGAATTTCCTATAAATAGCAATGAAAAGCATTAAATTGTGTCAACTAATTCGAATAAAAAATTGGGACCAGATGCTTTGAATCCACCAAAATCAGAATTGTATAATGGGACCAGCTGCTTTCAATCAAAGAAAAACGAATAGGATAATGGGACCAGATGCTTACCCTTACACAACCCGACAACAAAAGCAATACTTTTATAGCAACAAAACCCTCACCCCACATTCTGTAAACCCTAAAAGTTTGTCGAAAAGTGGAAATTCTTACCATAATCGGGCTTCAGATGGCGACTCCGGGCCGGACGCAGCTTCCATTCATCCATTGCTCTTTATCGGAGCAGCGATGAAATATTCAAGCCACCCAGACACGCATGCAAGAGATCGGCAGTCTGGGTCTGGGAGTTTCGCCGAGGATGAGACAAGATCGGCAGTTTGGGAGTTTCACCGAGGATGACAGGAGAATGGCTTCCGACAGTTGGCGCCGGCGAGGATGACTTGACTTGGCGATAGCAGAAGTATCGCGACCAATCTCTACAGTTCGGCCGACGAAGAGGAGAGGATTTTGTCGAGCGATTAGGGGTTGGTGGCGGCGCCGAGTCGCTCTCCCACGCGAAGAGGAGGATGTCGGCGAGGAGGACTTGGCGACGGCGCCGATTCGCTCCCACGAATGGCGACGTTTTGTCTCCTTAGGGTGCCTATGCAACTCGCGATTTGGGGGGAAGACTCTGACCAAATGAAGATCCAATCCGAAAACGGGATGGGTAAAGGATAGTTTCGACCGGTTGGAGTGTTGGGTTAATTGGGCCGAGTAATCAATTTTTAATTATTATTTAAAGTGACGTGTCATGCTGACGGGGCGATTTGGGACGGAGTTTCGAACGAAATTGGACGGATTGACCATTTCGTTATTCGTTCAAACTTTTTTTACCGAAACGTGCAAAATTAAAGGATTGTGACCGTTTTGTACAAAGTTAATAGGATTGTGACCATTTATGATAACTACCCTGTACTTTTGAGAGAATTTGTTGTTATTAGATGCATATTAAAGGATAAATTTATCATTTTATTATTATATAGTTGTCTTATTTGAAAGCTCAAATAAAAGGTCAACTTTCAAACCATATTAAGCTAATATAGTAATATCCAATTTTTTCTTTGTATTATCAAAGTTTTTTTTTGTCAAAAGCTCACTCGTATTACCGAGAAATATAGATCTCAGTTTAAAAACCAAACAAAAACCATGACCGAAAATCAAAACCCACCAAACCTGCACGAAACAAAGAAAGAGCTTTTTTGGCTACAACCTGAGCCGCTCGATTGTTTTTCCTGCCCCGTAACCCAAATGAAAAACCTGTAAAAGTTAGACGTAACTGAGAAATTTATTCAAGAATCACTCCTCCTTTAGCATCACGAACATCCTGGTCTCTGATCTTGGAAATAACGGCTTGCGCATCTCCCAGAAAAGCAACCTCTGTCCTCCTTTAGTACTATCAATGTGTTTGTTACTACAAATGTAATCTTAAAAAAAAAGGACAATGTCTATTTATTACCCAAATCTTTTCCAGATTCTTTTATTTTAACCAAATCTATTGAATTCCTAATAATTATCTAAACATTAACTCTCCGTCAACTTTTCTGTTAGTATGCTGACTAAGCATGACCATAATGAGTTGACTTCCTACGTGGCGGTCAAAATACCATCATTTACTATTTTTAATAAAAAGATTATAAAAAAATTGAATCCCACCCCTCACGCCTTCTCCCCCCCGCCCCCCCTCCGCCTCTCACTCCTCCCCACTCCTTCGATCTCTTTCTCTGATCTCTTTCTTCGCAATCCTCTCTAGTGGCGGCGAACCCTCCACCCACCATCTTCCTCACCTATTTGGTTGTCGTCGCCGTTGCTGGGGCATACGGGTAAACCCCTCGTCGCCATTGTCGAAATCGAAAGCCCAATCATAGAAGGTTGCCGGCTCCTCTTCATATTCCTCCAAACCTCCTGCACCAGCACCAGTGTCAGTCCAAGCAATCCTCCCGATCTCTGCGCCCTTCCAGCGCCCAATCCCTCATCGAACTCGATTCCTCAAAACCCTATTCTGATTTTTCGCTCTTTGATTCATTGATCTAGATTTCCATATTCGATGGCGGGCAATGGCGTCCTTGTCCTCCTTAGTTTCGACGGCGCGCTTGGCGCGACGACCTGTGGGGTTGGGCGATGGGGATTGGTTTAATGGGAATAGGTTTGGTGGTATGGAGGCAGAGGCGAAGACGAAGAATAGAAGAAGAAGAATCGATGGAGTTGCAGAGCCAATGGATTTTTTTAATTTCTAATTATTTTTTTAGTGATATGAGAAAAAATAAATTAATGTTTGTTTTCATATCTGAGGTGGATGCTGACATGAATTCTTATGTGGAGCCCCGTTACGAAATAAGTAACGGTAACAGAATGAATGCTCAGACTTTAATAAGTTATAATACGTTTGGATAATAAATAGAATTTCTATAGGTTTGGTTAAAATAAAAGAATCTAGAAAAGGTTTGGGTAATACATAGACATTACCTTAAAAAAATGTATGAAAACTTAAAGATGAAGCCTCCAACAGACATTATGTCCAAGCAATATCAAACCCACAACAATGGAACGAAAAATAACATACAAAGGAGACCATTAACATAACTATTACAACTACGAAGCAAATCACAGTGAGTCAGTGGCAGTACAAATTTGACCAAATATTGAAGGCAACTAAAAGCCATCTTCAACCTAATTCCCACCAAGATTCCTTTCCATTCACCAATCTCTCCAATTTGGAACTCTCTCCCAACACAAAAATGCTCTCTCTAAACGACTCTACAGCTGCCGGTAACGGAGCACTCAATGTGCCTCACCTGAGGACTTTCTCTATTCCAACATCTTTCAAGATCAATCAAGTCGATTTGCTGCTCTAGGGAGGGTGGCGACATCAACATGCAGATAGCAAGTTCATCAGCAGGGAGATACGCAGTAATGGCAAGCCTCCCACAGCAGCCAATAGACGAGCCAGGGATAGGGGCAGAGAGGAGGGGTTAATGGAGGCAGATACCATTAATCCGCCGCCCAAACCTCCAGAATCTCAACCAGTCAGGGAGGGCAGAATAGGGCTTACCTATATGCTTGAGAGGATAGGAGTAAGGGAGGATGCAGTAAGAATAAAGGATCCATCTCTAGAAGACTCTCAACTACCCGGATCTGCAGAAGATCCCCACATTGAAGACAGGAAGAGGGCACCTGAGAAAAAGACAGATCGGAGCCGTCAAGCAATCACCTCCATTTATTACAAACCCAGGCCGAGTCTCACAACTACCTCTGGCTTCGCCATAAACAGGTGGGAAGGACAGAAGGCACTATCTGCTGATCGATACCCAATCAGGTGCAATTGCTCCTGGTCAGGATTAAATGTCTGGCCTAGCAGTATCCAAATCTGGCATTTACGAGGAGGGCTGACAAGCACAATGAGGAAGGATGAAGGACAAGGGAAAGCAGTAAGGAGACGAGCATTCAATGTGGAGAGGAAGGCGGGGAGTCACAGGCGAGTCCCCATCCCAGCCTATATAAACCAGGCAGCTTCTATAACCCTTCACCCCCATCAACTTTCCTTCAACCAGTGCAAACAAACATCTCCCCCAATCAAACAGAAGCCGAAATACACGAATCACATCAGCAAGATGGAGAACAACACTACCATTGTCAGGGGTGAGAAGAGCCACTTGATTCTAAATGTTCGGCCAACTATCATCGGAGCTAGAGGGAGCGGAATGTCGATGCTACTAGGGAAATGGATTACAGACTCGACTATCAACCTCCACAAGGCCAGAAACGCGGCGATCAGCAAATGGCGGGCCTATGGGGAAGTTCAGGCAACCAAAGAAGCAGAGAATCTATTCGTCTACACCTTTCAGTCCCAACAGCTGAGAGATGCATGCTTCGATGCGAGGCCCTGGAACCTTAGCAACACGGTCATCGCCTTGAGGAAATGGGACGGGGAGCAGAAGGCAGAGGCCGACGACATCCAGACAGTCACTCTATGGGTGCAGATGCATGACCTACCTCAGTCACTAAAAGACGAAGAAGCAATCCAAGCTTTGGCGGAATACATCTTCCCCCATTTCCACTGTCTGGACCAGTCCAACCTCGACTTCAGAGGATGGCTCAAGTTCATCAGAGTAAAGGTGGAGGTTCAGCTGGACCAACCTATTCCGATTGGCTTCGAATACCCACTGGGGGAGAAGTCAATTTGGGTCAGCTTCAAATATGAGCGAATAATGGATCTCTGCTACTTCTGCGGTCGGCTAGGCCACCTGATCCACAACTGCCTTCACCGGGAAGACCATCGGAGGCGAGGATTAAGCATCGACCCGTCGGAGGTATATACTGCTGCTCTGAAGGCGGGCCATGACTCGCCGGCTAATACCCCGCCGGCGTCCTTCCGGGAGAAGATGGCAAGACAAAGGCGACCAACTCTGACTGGTCAGTCATCAGGCCTGCTCCACAGAGCCCGAGGAGAAGGTACTCTCCTGCAACTGTCTGGACAAGCGTCCTCCTCGAGCCCACCAGGATTTGCAGCATTGACTTTGCCCGCCGCATTGAGAGGAACAACATGGACCCAGCGAGGAGAGGTCATTGTACCAGCTTCGACAATGGTACCCACCTCGATCAGCCCCAACAACTTCCTGGAGATGGAAATGGAAGCCACAGCGAGGGCAATGCAGAGGTCCCTTGACCTGGGGGAAGGAGGAAGCAGCAAGGAAAAAGCAGCAGGCCTGTTTGAAATGGGCCGAAGCCTATCCCTAGCAAGCCCATTCTACGCAACGGTGGACACCCAGAGCCCAATACATGTTCAGCCCATAACAGACCCGAGTCTCAATCCGCTGGAGCAGATAATCAACCCAACCCAACAGAAGGAAACAGGCCCAGGAACAGACGAAATCAGGCCCAGGCCGGAGAAGAAAAGAAAACCGGAAGACTCCTCAAGCCCAGGCAACCCGACACAGCAGCTGGAGATTTCAACTAACATCTCATTTGATTCCTTGTCTTTCGTCCCAGGGGAACACAGGAAGACTTACCAGAGGAGAAGGAGCACGATAAGGAGGAGAAGTATGGCAGAGCTGACAACCGAAGGAAACCAGTCCGGAGAAGGCGAATCAAATTCTCCGAGGGCAGCGGTGGTACGCCTGGAGCCACCTGTTCAGGAATGAGGCTCCTCAGCTGGAACTGTAGGGGATTTGGCCAATCCCTTACAAGGAACTACTGCGCTAGACTCTGTCGCCAGTTTGGCCCTTCTGTGCTTTTTCTAATGGAGACCAGGAAGGAAGACTCCTTCATGGAGGAAAAAAGAAGAGCCATGAAGTTTGATTTCTCAAAGTATGTAAGCCCTGCATCTGAAGGAAGTGGTTTGGCTCTTTGGTGGAATGAAGAAGTAGAGGTCCGAGTAGTGGATGTGTGTAAATCCTATATGGATGTTAGTATAAGTAAGGATGGGAGTGAATTCTATTGTACTTTTGTCCATGCCCCCACCACGGCGGTGGAGAGGAGGAACCTTTGGGATCGACTTACGACCCTTAGGGATTCACCAGAAGATAGTTGGCTAGTTGTTGGGGACCTGAATGTGGCCCTCCAACCTTTTGAAAAGCAGGGGCGTTGCCCCCTTAGGAATGAAAACGTGGACCCCTTCAAGTACTTCATCTCTCAGAATGCATTGATCGATCTGGGATTCTCAGGTCAAGTTTTCACATGGACCAATAATCAACAGGGAGGTGATCTTATCAGAGAAAGGCTCGATAGGGGTCTATGCTCAGCCTCGTGGAGAATCAGGTTCGGAGAGGCCACAGTTTATCACGAAGAGTTTGTGAATTCTGATCATTGCCCTATCAGGATTGACTTACACCCTAAGAAGCAAGACAGGAACACACCATTCCGTTTTGATAAAAGATGGAAAGAAAATGGAGAATGCAGACAGATAATCGACAACAACTGGAACCTCCGGGGGAAAGTCCACGAAATTCTTGACAAATGCAGAACAGATTTGCATAGCTGGGCTGCAAGGGACAGAGTTATCAAATTGAGGAGGGAGAAGGAAATCAGAGCTAGACTCCAAGTTCTAAATGGCTCTAACAGAGACCCCACCCTGATTGAAGAGGAAAAACTTCTACTTCAGGAACTCGATATAGCCTGGAAAGCAGAAGAAGAATTCTGGTTACAGAGATCCAGAAACAGTTGGCTACAAGAGGGAGACCAAAACACAGGATTTTTTCATGCCAGTACCCTGAAAAGAAGAAGCAGAAATCGCATTGCCAAATTAAAAGATGAGGAAGGAGTTTGGATCACCGACAACCAACATCTTGAGAACCACGTCATAGGCTTCTACAACAACCTTTTCTCAAGCAGGAATGAGGTTTTTGACCATGATACGATTGCAGGTTTTCCCCAATAGGTTTCCCTGGAGGACAATCAAATGCTAAACGCGACAATTGAAAAGGAAGAAATCCGGAAAGCAGTCTTCCAACTTGGAAGTAACAAATCCCCAGGCCCGGATGGATTCCCAGGACACTTCTTCAGAAGCTACTGGAATCTAACAGGGGATCTGCTTTGTGAGGAAATTATTGAGTTCTTCAGAACAGGAGTGATGCCAACCAAATGGAATGACACGTTCATCACTATTATCCCTAAGGTTGATGCTCCAGAAACTATTGGTCAATTCAGACCAATCAGCTGCTGCAACTTCAGGTACAAGGTAATCACTAAAGTCATGACCAATAGGTTGCAGCCTCTCTTACCAAAGCTTGTCAACGAGCTTCAAGCAGCCTTTACAGGAGGAAGACAAATCCAGGACAACATTGTGATCGTCCACGAGGTTTTGAACTATTTCAGGAAGAACAAAAGAGGGGCGCAGAAGAACATGATGTTGAAACTAGACATGAAGAAAGCCTACGACCTAGTGGAATGGGATTTCCTCATTGATCTGCTCAGAGCTTATGGGTTTAATGGAACTTGGTGTGACTGGGTTAGATCATGCATCTCAACAGTGAAGTTTCGAGTTCTCTTCAATGGGAACCCTACAGAGGAATTTACCCCATCTAGGGGTATCCGCCAAGGGGACCCTCTCTCTCCCCTGCTTTTCATCCTAATGAGTAACGCCCTTTCCTTCCTTGTTGAGAAAGCTGCCCAGACAGGTGATCTGAGAGGGTTGAAACTCAACCGAGCCTGCCCGCTTCTCACGCACTGCTTATTTGCTGATGATACAGTCATCTTTGGCGAGGCATCTCTAGTGGAAACTACAAGAATTATGGACATCATCAATAGGTATGCTTCGATTACGGGCCAAGAGGTTAATAAAGATAAATCATCGATTTTCTTCAGCCACAATGTCTCAGAGGAGGTAAAAGGAAGCATCATACTATCAGCTGGATTCTCCGCTACAAACTGCCACTCAAAGTACCTCGGGGTCCCAACAGAGTGGGGAAGATCTAAAAAAGAAACCTTCCAGTTCCTTATCCGGAGAATGGAAAGCAAAGGAGAAGCTTGGAAGAGTCTCCTACTCTCTCCAGGAGGAAAAGAAACCCTGCTAAAAGCTGTCTTCCAGGCGATTCCTTCCTTTATCATGTGCCTCTTCCTCCTTCCAAAATCAACAACCAATAAAATGGACTCTATGCTGAGGAACTTCTTCTGGGGTGGTAACATGACCAAGAAGACGATACATTGGCGGGCAGGTCATGTGTTATATGCGCCAAAAGAAGAGGGGGGATTGGGGTTCAGACCTTTTCACATCTTCAACATGGCACTACTAGCCAAACAGGCTTGGAGAATTCTTACCAATCCGGATGCTTTATGGGTGAAGGTCCTGAAAAGCATTTACTTCCCCGATCAGGACTTCCTCTCGGCCAGAAAGGGGAGTAAAGCATCCTGGATATGGGACAGCATTTGGGAGGCTAAAGGATGGATGCAACAGGGAGTGGTCAGGGTAATTGGAAACGGGATGACTACAAAAATGTTTCAAGATCCCTGGCGTTTTGATCGTGCAGGACCACTGCTGTCAACAGGTGCCACTGACACAACTAACACAGCCCACTTTATTGACGCCATCTCTAGGGAATGGAAATTCGACCTTTTGGAACAATTCCTTGATCCACAAGAAATCCAGCTCACGGGTGCCACACCAATTGGACCGTCCAATATGAATGATTTTTGGGCATGGAGGTTCTCAGAGAGTGGTTTCTTCTCGGTAAAGACTGCTTTCCACAGGTTCCATAACCAGATCAGAGGCCCTCAAGTGGCAGTTAACACCTACCCTCAAGTATCTAAAGACAACTGGAAGTGGCTATGGAGTCTTTCTATACCTCCAAAACTGAAATTCTTCGTATGGAAGTGTGCAAAAAATGCACTTGCCTCAAAGGCCAACCTTTTCACAAGGAAATGCTCCCAGACTGACTTATGCCCTCTGTGTATTCTTCAGCCGGAGTCTATTCATCACTGCATCTTCAACTGCCCCCACGCAGCAGCAGGATGGAATAGAGAATGGCCGGATCTCTCTACACCACCTCCACTCACCAACATTCTGGATTGGCTTGTCTCTCTGCAATCGAGGTTCTCCATTGATACTATTCAGCGGATGATCTTCCTGATGTGGCAGACGTGGAAAACTAGGAACGAAAGAATCTTCTCAGGGATCCTTCCCTGGCCGCCTCTCACCACACATAAAGCCTCGATGGCCCATCATCAGTGGAGCACCTGCCCACGAAAGATAAGTGACACTCACCATCATCCTCAGCACAATCCACCCCCAGAACTTTCCCCTCCACCGCCGAGTATTCATGAATTTGAAATACACTGTGACGGTTCTTTTTTCAATGAGTCACAGCAGGCGGCATATGGCGTCGTGGTAACGAACAGCCATGGAGAAGTCTGTAATGGGAAAGCTGAGACCCTGCATTGTTTTTCACCACTGGAAGCAGAAGCAATTGCCCTGTGGGAAGGAGCATGTACTGCCGAGGAGCTGACAGCACCCTGCCTTATTAGAACGGACTGTCTCTCCCTCATTCAAGCTCTCTCAGGGCCAAAAGAGAAATGGCCATGGCGAATTGCCGCCTGGATTCACAGAATCAAGAACACTCTTGATAACCACCATGGTCTACGGTTCGATTTCATCAACAGAAGAAGAAACTGCAAGGCAAACTGGGTAGCACGATCATGTGCAAAACAGACACTTCCGGTTGACTGGATCCAAGTGCTTGATGTTATTGGCCCACTCTTGTAATCTGTTTGGCTTTCTGCCGTAAAGGAAATGAAAATCCGATGCCTTCTTGTCAAAAAAAAAAAAAAAACTATTAGCAACAGAAAAATGGCAGGACTTGGAATGAGCGGGGGTCCTTATACACAACAACCCAAAGATTAATATGTACTCATAATTCTCCATTACAGACCATATACAAATTCAGTCAAAAGACAAAAAATCCACTTCAGAAAAATATCAAAAGCCATCAGTTCTGGGAAATGCAAGCATAAGGCTATTCCTTCTCAAAACATCCCAACACCACCATCATCATAAACCCTAAAATCGAAATCGTAACAATCTGTCTCTCCTTCCCCCCATTCCCTTTTCATCATTTTCTTCGAACAGGTTAGCGAAATAAAAAAAAACCCTGCAGCAGAACAGGTTCATGACTCAACAGAGATGTTGGCGCTTGGCTGCTCAGCGGCCATGTTTGCAGGAGCAGCAGCATTTGTGGTGGTAGTAGTTGTTACATGTTGTTCTGACCCAGAATCCCTTTTTGCCTTGTTGTGGTGAGTACTGCCATTTGCTGTCTGTCCACCGCTGCTGGTACGAGTCCTGGCTCTTGGACCAGATGGGGATTCTTTATGGGCATGGCTGCCAAGGCTGTGGCGCTGCCTGGCACAATGCTTGCTGATGACCTGTTGTTGATCTTGCTCCTGATATGTGCTCACAGCTACATCTCCGCAGCTCTTTCTCCGGTTTAGCTTCGGTGATACTGGCCGCGTCAATGGCAGCTGACAAAATAGAAGAACATAACACAAAAATCCCACAGGTTAGAGTTGGTAAAGTGCTGCTGCAGTAGACTTGAAGTCGCACTTACATATGAAGAAGAAAGAGTCCATTTTTGCAGCAGCTTCATTTGTTGTCATATGTGAAGAGAAATGCATAAGTCTAAAGAGTTGTTTAAGACATAAAGCGAAGATGTTCCTTTCTCATTATGGGTGTGTTCGGTTTGGTCAGTATGTATATGGATCTTATTTGTTTCAATAGAGGTGTATTTCAAAAGAAAAATTATTCAATTTAGTGCATTATTGTAGAAAATTGTGTCAAGGAAAAGACACGTTGAAGCCACTTTCCTACAGTGAATTTTCAACTTCTTTCTATCCTCAAACACTTGAGATTGCATCGTTTTCATGCATTTGTTTGAGATTGTGCGTGCCAAGTGCACTCAAATATGCCAATAGTGTCAACAACAAAACAATCACAAGATATTTTTTCAATTGCATTTCTTTCAAATACTCGCTTCATTCTATCATCTGTTTAATTGATCTTTCATACAACTAAATCAACTTTCTGACATCTGATTAGGGAAATGATGGTAGGAAGTAGAGTACCTTTTTCAGTTCAGTCTTCGGTGGAGGTGGCTCATAGTAGAAATTAGGCACTGGGTTTGCTCTAAACACCATGTTCTTTCTCATCTGCCTGATGGCTGCTTGCTGCTCTTCCTACAACAAAAGAAAGGCAAAGTTTGCTCAGCCAGGTCAGTTTGAATAAGACCAAATCCAAGTATCCCAATAAGATGCAACTTCAAGTTTATAGGGTACAAATCAAAGTGAGTAGAGAGAATACCTTGGTCCTGGCCTCAGCCTGGCTTTTCTCAGTCTCCAGAGCTTTGTGTTTTTCCTCCAATTTTGTATAAAACTAGAAACATAAACAGAGAAAAACTAGTTAGATTCTCAATTAAGTTATATACCTTTGGTAAAGAAACAGGTTGACACAATTAACTTCAGAGAAGATGAGTACCTCCCTTCGCCTGTGGGCACGTTCAGCAGATTTGAAAGTGGGAGCTGTGCCAACAGTGACAGATTTAATAGTTCGAACGGATGCAGCAGTTCTAGACATGGCTAAGGAACACTAACAGCAACTGAATTTCACTTAAAGAGAGAGCATGAACCTTCCATGACCCTAAGTTATTTGCATAGCCTTGTGTGTTGCTGGCCAGTTAAGAAAATAATATATATTTTTTACAAAATAAGAGGATACGAGGAAGCAACTGAGCACTTGTCGTCTTCATCATAATGCTTGTCATCATGTCGGAAGACCTTTCTCACTGATTTCGGCGAGCTCTGCTGAGAAAAATGACAACATAAATGTCTAGCACATTGAAGAAGAGCATAGAGGAGATAGAGAAAGTAAATAACCAATAATGCTTCAGAACATGAAACTGCCCTTCAAGATTTATAAAGAAACTTTAAATGCCAATGCAAATTAAGATGTATGACTTACCACCACAAATGGATACCACACTTAATGAACACATAGTAGTATCACGTCAAGTTAAATAAGGATGAGGAGTCCATGAGTATATAGCTGATGATATACCGCGACAACAACTGAGTGAAACATGTCAAATGAGGAGTTTTCAACAGAGAGGAAGAATCTTCCAGTGGTTTGAGAAGACTCTACAACCTTCAAACCACCATGTTTTACATAAAATTATTGAAAGGAGGGAGCTACCAATAATTTAAAATAGGCGAAGTAGCAGCAAAAGGTGAGTATAGATTAGGGATCACTGGCTTTGTAATCAATAACACAAAAGGAAAACTCATTTTGTGCAACGGATAATAGAGAGCTGAAACTAGACATCTACCTGCTACTACGACTACTACTAAAGATTCAGTTAGTTACCTTTGAGCTCTTTCCACTGACAGGTGACAGCACATTGTTTGCATTGGCTGAGATGTTTCCGTCTCCATGCTTTTCGGTCACCAAAGCAACCGCCTGCAGGCGTGCTGCTTCAGAGTTTCCTGGACCACAAGAAATGGGTGTGAGAGAAGTTGCCACTTTAGTACCAACAATTGACTTCTGAATTCAGAAAATGGGCGTCAAAATACCATTGTTTGTGTTCTTAACATCTAACACATCCTGATGCTCAACAATTTCCAACTCTCCCCTTTCTTTCCCTTGATAATGGTCTACCGAAGTACTCCTAGCAGAAACGCGAGCACCACCACCCTGTGACATGCCATTTGACTTCCCTGCAACACCGTTACGCTTCTCATCCATGTCTGCATTCACAAGTTTCCGTCCCATCAAACTGCCACCAACGAAGGTAAATATTAGTCTTAGCACCTGAGATTTTCTCATGCAAGCTCATCTATAGCAGGATGATATCCATTCAAGCTAGCAGAGGGAGCAACCAAAATAACCTCTTACATGACCAAATACCAACGATGTTTCTAAATTCCGAAATCGCAACACAGTTAGATTATGCTAGCGACACATGTTAAAAGAAATGTCATATGGTGATGCTCAAACGTCCATTCATGGAGAGGACCTTTTCCTTTCTCTCTTTATATTGCATAACAAAACAAACATTCTGGGAGACATGAAAGGGACCCATGATAAATTCTATGTTAAAACTTAATCCACAAACTTTCACGATTGACCACATTAAAAGTCCACATGAACATAGGAAGAGAAGATCCAGAACCCTCCCCTCCTGATGAAGCATGTGGATAGAGAGCATATTGTGACAAGTGAGCCCCCAGGTAAGGGAACATCCTCCCTAGTCCTGGACCAGGATCAGATCCTTCCCAGATCAAAATGAAAAAGCTCCATTTCTAGCTCAAATTTTCTGCTTTTGGAGAGCTCTCTCTCCACATCCCATTAAGGACGAAAGAAACACGCTAAAGGGGTAAGTAAGAAAGAATCTCGGGAGAATTGAAAACTCCTCTTAATTGTGGGAAAGGGGAAACAAAGGAATCAACTAAAAAGGGCCAGAATAAATGAGGTTTGAACGTAAGGCAAGGGAAACCTTCAAAAAGCAGGAGCAAATTAAGGCATCAGGAAAATTACTACACAAGACTAAGAATCTAAAAAGAAGTTCGTTTTGAACATCCAAAAATCAAAAGAAATTACACAGACAATAGAGGGGAAAATGCATGCAAGTAAACCTCCAGCTGCAAGCTCAGATAGTGCAAGAACAGAAACAACAGGAAAGAGACAGGAACCGAACTTTACCAGCCCAGAAAGAAACAAAACAAAAGGAAACAAAAGAAAACCCAGGCAGAAGGAGGAAACGAGGGCGCTTCTTGCTAAACCAACATCAGAATTCAAATCAACCAAAAAGGAGACAAAAAAGAAGAAGAAACAGAGATTAGAAAGGGTGGGGATGCAGGGAAGCGCTGTATGTTAATATAAAGCTTCGGTTGGTCCAAGTTAACAAACAAGAGAAGGAGAGTGGGCAGGACTGGGAAAGCAGGAAACCCAGAAGAAGAAATGAAGAGATAAACATAAAGAAGACGAAGAAAGGAAGAACCTTTCATAGATCGAGGCACATTGCTGGTGCGGAAACAAAAACAGGGGAGAGCAGCAGAAAAATCCAAAAAGAGCAAGAAATGTGGTGAAGATTTCTTACAATTCGGGGTCCGATCTAACAAGATCCCAAGCGCAAAACCCTCCCTTCTCAATCCAAAATCTTCTCTCTCCTCTTCCTTTCTAGCTATCTATGCTTCTGTCCACCTCTCTTTCTCTCTCTCTATCTAAATATATAAACCCATGCCAAAATGTTTTCTGTGATTTTGCATTTTAATAGCTAAAGCAGAGGAAAAGCAGAGTTTGACGAAGACTAAATATTTCTTTCTTTTCTAATATGTTATTTTGAAAAGGTATGTTGGATAAGAGATTTTGGTCTAAAATATTTATGCGGAATTTGAACTCAAATTACTTACTTAAAAATTCAGATAAATTAAATGAACTATTTAGGTCTATTTACTTGTTTGTTTTTACCAAGGTTGTTATCCGCGGGTTGACTCGGACCCGGTCGAACTAGTGGGTCAAGAGTTAATGACTCACTCATTTTAGCCCGGTTTAATCCAAAAATATGGAAATAGTCATTATTTTGTACTTATTCTGATAAATTATATCAAATCTCATCTTGCATATGAGTTATAACATATAATATTACACCAAAATAACATGTCGTACTTAGATCCAACATATAGTGAAAATTTACACACATTTATATAACATCAATATTCAAATGTTCAACTTAGGATTCCAAAGATTGAGTTAGGAGAAAAGAAAAATCGGAAAATAGGTGCATTTCGCAAATCAAAGAAAAAATGACACAGTTTGACCTCCAATCCGGTGCCTTGTAGCGGTCGACCCGGCAAGTGCGTGCAACCCATTTTTCTCACCAGGCCAGGGTCAAAGTGGGTCGACCCGCGGGTTGACAACCTTGGTTTTCACATAGTGAAATTTGAACCCCATTATGTTAGGGCTAGGCTTATAAACAGTTATCTCGTTAACAATGTAATCGATAACCGAATCGGAGCCGGTGCTTAATGGTTACACCGATAACCGATTAAATAGTAAACGGTCGTTTCTCGGTAGCCAAATTTAGCTAATAACTAACTGATAGTAATGGTTAATAATCGACGGTTAAATGGTTAACCGACTAAGCGATTATGATCATCCACATAGTTAGGGCCGCAAATAATATACCCCATGAGCTGCAAACATAGGCAAAAAATAATGGGGTGTTTGAAGGCTTACAAGACCCCTTGCCTATCCTAATTGTAATAGTGATTTAGACTCAAATGAGAATAATTTAAAGGAAGAGTTTTAGAAGGAGCACGGTAGAAAGTCAGACTTGCGCACAGTTGCTCGACCAATCAGTAACATGAAGCTTCCATGTAATATGGTGGGGGTTTACAAGATGAGTAATTGTTGTTTGGATCTCTTATCGTTGTATGCTTCTTTAATAAAGTTTGCCTGTAGAATGGTATTATTACGTACTTGTGTTGGATTGAGTTGATATATATCTATGTTAAATTATTTTGTATTCAATGATAACAACTTAAGAAAAGAACATATGTGTATGTATGAAAATTATAGAAAATTTCACAAGTGAAAAAAGAAGGTCTTTTGTTGGTAAGGTTATCGATCGATTATTTTGGTATAACCTAGTCAAATCACTTGGTTAACGATTATTCGGTTAACTGACAAAATAACCGAGATCGATCATATGGTTACGGTTAACCGACTAATTTAAACGGTGCGGTTAAAGGTAAGTACAATGTGCTTAACGGTTAACCGAGAACAGACTAAACAGTTCTGGTTATACCGAACTGATTATCAGTCCTAGTTAGGGTTGGGAAAATAAATCAGACCGATAGAAAAACTATGGTCCAAACCGGACCGCACAGTTTGGTCCGGATCGTAGGCCGTTAAGTATGGTTTGGTTTGGTCTGATCTGTGGTACGTATTATATGGTGTTTTGATCTCTTGGTCTGGTCTAGACCGCAGTTTACCGGACCAACCGTGGACACAACCGACTTCTCAATACATGTTAGCATCCAACTTGACCACTATCCAACTCCCACAACGAGACCCAAGTCTCAACCTGAATTTTGAGAATCTCGTCCTCTTCTTCATTCACAACCACATTTCACTAGAGAGTAGAGACAATCGTGTCTTCATATGACATTATATTACTGTTTATGACGTTATGATGCAAGTTGGGATGCCATGACTTTGTATTTTTGTTATGTACTGAGATTTAGGGTGTCAAAATTATTCATTCATGTTAGAATTTATGTTTTAAGGTAAAAATACAATTTTTTTTTTGGCTATTGGTTCAATATTTTGTATGGTTTACTAAACAAATTGTTCATTTTTCGTTGAGTGTGGTCTATCTGGACCAGACCGCGCATGCTTGGTCTGGTCTGGACCATATAGTCCGTGGTCTATACTCCAACCTCTTGGTATGGACCATAGACCGTATATATGATCAAGTCTGGACACGATCACATCATTTCCCAGTCCTTCATTATGTAAAGACGAAAAAATTGTTATTGCTAATTTTACAAGCGACAAAGAGAGTCATCCATCTTGTTGTCTCAATCAAGTTCTCTTCACTCCCACTCGTTGTGTCACTGGAGTTGTCGCTTTCAAGAATGAGGCGCAACTCTCCCTAAGCATCGCAACTCTCCCCAAACATCTTTTTCATTCACAAACATCACCATTTGCAGGACATTCACCATGACTCTTTGTAATTGGTTTGAGTTTAAGATTTATGGAGTTGTTTTCTTTTATTAGAAAATTTAACATGAAAATATATTTTAAAATTGGAAAATAGTATTATACATGGCTCGTAATAATATGTTTTGTTGGTTCCAAAATGATTTTATTTTCGTGGTTGGTTTATTAGGAATTAGGATAGAAAAAAGACAATGAAATACATTAAATGTAAGGACAAAATGGTAAAATTATACAAATAATTCATTTAAGATCGACTCATCTAATTTTTTTTAAACAAACAATACATTTGCAAATGTCTACACGTCCAAATGTCTACATTTGAGTAAATGAATCATGAAAACACTCCCTAAGAGAACTTCACGCTTCAAAGACCCAAAAACATTTTCTGTTAAACTTCTTAAAGTTCCCAACTTGCTGTCATAGCCAGGAAAAATGCCAACATTCCATAACTTCAGGGAAGATGAACACCATAAAGGTTTTGTCATACTTCTATATCAAGCTGAACGAGACGTCCCCTTAATGTCATGATCAACCTGCCCTCATAAGTACTAGTAGCGAGCCATCAAATGTAAGCATAATCATAATAGTTTGTATCTTAGTATTAGATGATTTCACGAATAAATAATAGATCAAGAATACCTAACTTGATCCAAGACTAGAGAGACAATAGAGACTGGAGCTGTAATAACTATAATTGATTTTCTCCCTCTGACCCATTAAGTTTTAGGCTTAGAGATTTATGTGATGTCTAAAAAATTCTATGTAATAGGTTGAGAGAGGACAGATTCTTGATTTTCTCGATATAGTCCCACCATTAGAATATATTAGGAATTACCTTTTATTTATTTATTTATCAAAATATGATTTACCTTATATATTAAAACATTAAGCGATAATTATAAGGTAAATGTCATATTTGGTCGCTAGGATTACTAAATTGTGTCATGTTTAGTCACAAAAAAATTAATATCAATTTTGGTCATTCAAATTATTGAAACATGTCACATTTAGTCACTCCGTTAGTCTCCATCCAACTCCGTTAACAGAGTTCGTTATGTGCTGACATGACTAACGAGAGCACCCGATTAGCGCCATTTTGGGTCGGAAAGGGTCAAACCCGACTCGCCACATCACTAAACCGCCATGTCATACACCCAACCCAACCCATGAACCCAACCCGACCCAGATGCAAACCCAAGCCCACTTAACAAAACAAACTCGCCATCTCTCTCCTCCATCTTCATCTCTCAGTTCCCTTCCTCAGCAAGCTCGAGCTTCAACAATGACGTCTTCTCCAAACCCTTCCCCACAAAACCCAACCCCTCTCATCCTCTTGCACCACTTCTCCTTCCTCTCGTTTCGCATCTCCCCACCTCCACCTCTCACAAGCGCCATCGCCGCTTCCCCTTACATCCTCCTCCTCTTCGACATACTAGGTAGTATATAACTAAGCAAGAGTTGGATTTCACTTCATCGCAAACGAACCAAATTACCTACAAGTTTCCCTCTCCCCTCCCTTATCTTTTCCCTTCACCAAAAAGAAACCCTATCACACAAGGATGCAGAAGACTGAAGCCATCGAAGCTGCTTGACAGAGAAGAAGAGCTGAAGTCCAAAAGAAAGGTTTCATGGTCTATTTCTTCCATCAACACGAGAGAAGGACAAGACGAAAGAGTTTAGTCTTTATCTTACCGTTAGATGGATTTGACGAAAGCCACACGAAAACGAGACACATATTCGTTTATTTACTATCCATTTGACTTACAGTTTAGTTTTCCTTTTCCGGTTTTACTGTAGAGTGAACTTTACTACTCTTCAACATATATAAATCAAATGACGGAGGACTTTCCTCCTTGCGGGTTCCAATCCATACCGCATCATTTCTTCTTCCTCATATCTAAACTCTAAGCTCCTGAAGCTTTTCTATAAACTCAAGAAAGAAATGACATTTATTTCTCTCTTTAGGGTTGGCAAAACGATTCTCGAGAAACTAAGTCCTCTTGTTCATCAAGAGGCTATGTTGTTGTGGAATCTTCGGGCTGAACTTGAGAAGTTGGTGGGCACAGTGAGTGCCATTCAAGCACTTCTACTCGATGCAGAGGAGCAGCAAGAGCACAATCATTAGGTCAAAGACTAGCTCTAGAAGTTGCAGGTCTTATTGCTCGATGCAAAGACCTACTTGATGATGTTGCTATCGAGGCTCTGCGGGAGGAAGCAACGACCTTAAGGGATTGAAATGACAACCGTCCGTTACAAACCCTAAACCCCCAAATCATCAACACAAATCAGGAAGAAATCATAATCGTCTGCGCACAGTTCTGCCTCCACGGACTGAGCGACAACAATCCCGATGAGAGAACATAGTTCTTGAAAACCCTAAGGAGATTGGAGCCAAAGAGGGTGATTCTTGAACAACATGGATTGCAGCTGCCATTGATGAAGCTCGAGCTCTGCCAAGGAAGGGAATTGGGAGATGAGGGTGGATGAGAGAGATGGTGAGTTTGTTTTGTTAA